AAGTGAATGGGACCTTTTAAATCACTTCTGAGAACAAGACTTGTACTTGTGTTTTTGAAGTTGTGTAAGTACTTCTGAAAAATCATTCATTGCTCTTTTATTGAGAGACTTTCTTACTGCTTGTAAGAAGGTGTTTTGTTGTTATGGGGTTTAGGAGCTGGTGGTCTCTATTTAATGAGCCAGACGGTACAGAAGAGTCCTTCGTCAGTGCTAAATCTATCCCTTATCTGCCTGTTAAAACTTTGATTTTTGATGTGGAGAGTGGCGAAGCTTCCATGGTGGAAGAGCTGGCTGTGGTGTGTGGGAGTGTTCGTTGGAAGGGACTTCTGGGGCTTATCTGTCCAGACTCCTGCTCAGAGCAGGATTACGAATAACACTCATTTGCCAGCTGTGGCTTTGTCTGCTGAGTCTTGAAAACCTCCTGAGAACAAAGTTTATCACCTCTCTGAGTACCATACCAAAGTACCTTGCAGATGTTTTTTCTAATGTCCAGTCTGAACCTCCCAAGCTGTTACTTGTGGTTGTTGCCTCTTGTTTTGTGGTCAGTCAATGCTGAGAAGAGTTTGCCTCCATTGTTTTTGTAATATGCCTTCAGCTTCAGTTGCTATTAGATTATCCCTAGGCTGCCTCTTTGTCAGACTAAACAAACCCAGCTCCATCACCTGCTTCTCAAACATCATCCTCAAGGCTCCAGGCCATTTTGGTGACTCTTTCCAGGTTCTCAAATTCCTCCTCGACCTGGGGGACTTGAAACAGGACACAGTATTTGAATGGCAGTCTCACCAGCATTGAGTTTCCTTTGATTGCACTCCTTTTGGCTTTCCCTATTTGCAATGAGAGCAGACTCTTGGCTCATATTCAACTTGGCAACCAGTGTGATCCCCAAGTCTATCTCAGTAAGGCTGTTGTTCAACTGGTCTGTTCCCAGGCTCCACTGAAGCATCCCTGGAGCAGAATTTTGCACTTCATGAGGTTCCTGTTGGCTTATTCCTCAAGTTTATCAAGGTCCATCTGAGTTGCATCTCCACTTGGAGAGACAATCACTCTTCTTGTTTAGTGTCATCCACAAATTTTCTGAGGATTCATTCTGTCTTACTACCCAGGTTGTTGATGAAGATACTGTATAATATTGGCCCCAGTATCAGCCTTTGTGGTGCTCTTTACCCACTACCAGCTGTATGCTGAGCCATTGATTACTACCCTTTAAGCTCAGCAGTCCAGCCCCTTGTCATTCAGTCTAACAGGCCATTTCTCCAACCCATGCCTTTTCAGCTTACTAATGAGACTACTGTGGGAAACTGGATCAGTCATAATCACTAAAAACTGGACTGTGATTTCACGAATTTCTGGTAGATTCTATCAAGCAAATATTTGAAGTGTTAGTAACCAAAGCTATCTTTATGTAAGTGATGCTGTTTTCTTTGGGGGAGTTCTGGTGCTGTGAAATGTGGTTTCAGTAAACTAAAACGTGACATTCAGAAGCTCCGTAGAGAGTCCTTTTTCCTTTTATTTAACAAAGTGTGTGACTTTTAAGAAGTAAATAAAGTTTGTACATTTAGAATGTACATATTACTCATCTAAAAGTAGTTAGGGTCTCTAAGTAATTTTGTTTCAAGTATGTTTTACTACAAAGTCTTAGCTTCACTTTTAGAAATATTGTATCTAAATCCTTTTGTTTCAAAACACTGGAATAAGCATTGTTGAGTAGTCATTTCTAGCGGCTAAATAGTGGCTAATGCTATGAGCCTTGCATTGTTTTACAAACTTCTAAAACCTCTTCCCAAAACAGCTTAAGTTATTTTTCCTGTTTGTAGTAGTGTGCATTTACTTTAGTTTTTCACATTATGGCTCAACATTCAAATTGTCTAATCCAAACCTGAAAATGAAGGAATAACCATCATTTCATCTTTCAGTCAATGTGCAGAGGAGGCAGGAACTTAATACTAAATCTTTTCTGGAATGGTTTCTAAACCTGCAGTCTCCACTTCAGTTTTGAAACACGAGGTCAGTTTTCCACAATTGTAAGTGGCCAAAATTGAAGTAGCCGATAGTTATTTTGCTCCAAATCGTGTATCTGCCTGACTGGATACAGCATTTTCACATAGCTTGCCAACCAGAGCCCAGTAACATGGACCTGTGATTGTACTGAATTTCCAGATGTTTTAAGGAATTAGACAATGGACAACTTTGTCATGTGAAAGAAGAGAAAATATAGCCTTGGTATTGTGGAGTTAAAGCTTGAAAATGAGGCTGATGTCTCTAAAACTAGAATGTGATCAAAAGAGAAACTAAACTTCTTAATGTCGTTTTATTTTTCAAAGCCAGCCACCTGATTCCTGAACATCTGGGGTTCAACGATGAGTTTAAAAGCCAGAGAGGCTTTTTTCCCACTTGAAAACCATAGCAGTTCTAGATTTAGTACGTAGCTCTTTCTACCACAGAAGCTTTTTGGGTGAGGGGGTCATGGTAATAACTTTTAGTGTCATACACACTAATTTCATGTACATTTCCTCAGAATAATGGAAGCTGAGATTAGTAACAGCAGCAAGAAGTAACTGGTACACTGCAACACATGCGCTGCATTTATCAAATAGGTGTTTTAAGCACAGATTTTGTTTAGGTCTCTTCTTTTGATTTTGATACTTTAAGAGTAAAACTCATTTCATCTAATTGTTTTAGACCTCATATGAAATGAGCAAAGAGCTGAACAAATACACATTTTGGTATCCTGGAGGCAGATTGGTGAAAATAAAGATTTGCAGTCATAGCTCAGGCCAGAGAAAGAAGTACTGGTGAAAATCATAAGGAGCGAATTTTCTTCTGCTTTTCTTTGTGAAATAAATTGAAATTTGACATTGCCTTTGAGATTTTTTTGTGAGATAACACTTCAAAGAGCTGTGTAGTGGCAGTGTGAGTTCAGTGCTTAGAAGCTTATGCAGAGCATGGGACATCAGCCAGCACTTTCTGATTGGAAATCGGGTTATGGGATTTCTTTTGTTGTTCACTTCCAACACTTACGTGGAAAAATAAATCTTCCCAGTGGTATGAGACAATGAAATAAAGTGAATGGACGTAGATTGGAACCGGTAGATCTTGCACTTAACTATCTGATTAGCAAGGCTAATTTTTAATATAATAACATCAGGAAGTTTATAGCCTTGTGCAGCATGCGTTCAGAAAATCTGTCTGTGGCAGAGCCAAGGCTTTTTGTTTTGTTTTATTTTTTCTTCCCCCCCAATCTGTAATTTAGATTCATGACATCTTGGCCCAGTGTTTTAGTTTTAACTAAACATGGTGATTAAGCCTTTTTGTTTGAGAAACAAAGACAAAATTAATCCTAAAACTCTACTGGTATTGAACAATTCCTTTGAATTTTATGTCATTCTTTTGTCTCTTCACGTGGTAAGAGAGAGGTGTAGGTATGACAAACATTCTCCTTTTCTTCTTGCAGATCTCTTGAATTTCTCCTGCGGATTTGGTAAAAACATTTTTTGAGGCGTGTTCCTGTGTTAACACACGGAAAAAACACCCACTGTGTTTTGATCTTGATAAGCATCACTATTTGTTTGACGAGCTTTCTTGATGTTATTTTAGATTTCCACGTTTCGAAAGCAGCATTACATAGGTCAGTCTTCTAAAAGATACTTAAGTTGAAAAAATACACAGACATATTTGGTATTAAAACCAGCAAAAATGCCCTGATGTACTGACGTGATGGATAAGTTGGAAATTTCCTCTTTTTTTTTTTTTTTTTTCCCACCCCTCTGGATAAGCAGTAAAACGTCATGAGATATGTCTTGTTTTAATGGAAACTGGTGAGCAAGTGTAAGTGCTTGCTCTATCGAATAAAGCCAAGTAGTTGGACTAGACTAAGCACTTACTGTGTTGTTTTGGGTTTGTTCATTGTTTTTTTCTTTTAATAATGATACAACTTCTGGGTATTTTTTGGCGATATCAGGGTTTTGGAAAGTTAAAACTTGCATGTTGAATTGGTGTTATTTAATGAGAGAACGCAATGGGTGATATGTTACACATAGGCCTAACTCTGTTTCAGACAAGAGAGTGTTAGGCATCTTGCGTATTGGACATCTGGGTTGGCTTTGTCTGCTGCTTCCCTCCTGCTGTACCTCATTACAGATTTCTCTGAGGCTTTTCATGTTGGAATTTTTTTTTGTTCTGTGTTTTTGGCATGGAAACAGGAAAGGCTGGAGCTTCCTGCCCATATAAACAATAAATCCCAGTAAACTAACTGGGACAGATTCTGCCTGCCTTCCCTGAATACCATCTTTAAAAGGAAAGAAACAGTGTAAGAGCGTTTTGAGTATTGAAATAGGATTGACTTCATAGTAGAGCTATTTTCTTGAAGAGATACGTAGCAGAGACAGGACACCTTTATTGTCTTACTAAATGAAGTCCTTAAGATACAGATCTAAAAAGTATTTTTGTGTGATCTTGTTAACTGTTGTGTTATATCATCAACTACGTAGAAGCTTCTCTAATGAATTAATACAGCTGTATTCCTGATGACAGTAAGTTTTGGCAAAGTGCACTTTTTTACATGTTCGGAGCTGTGGACCTGTATATTCTATTTTCTTTAAATACACTGCCTGTGTTTCAGAAGACATCTGGAATTTTCATTTTTGCATTCTGTGAATTAAAGCCAATGATTTTAGTTTATTTGTCAGTTCTGTTATAATCCACGCTTCAGTTCAGTGTCTCTAGTCAGTCATAGATAATGCAACGTGGCTGACTTGTAGGTAGATTAAGTTGTAACAGCTCCACATTAACAGTGTTGAAGAATACGTGTGCCTTAAAACATCTGGAACTGAAGTTATCTCTACGATGAAGTGTAGGATTGGTTTGTTTAGGGTTGTGCTTCTTCTCTTTGCACTGGAAAGAAAAATTGTACCTTTCTAATAACAACTTTAATCTAAAGAATGTAGCTGTGTGTAGGTTGAGCCTCTTTTAATATGCAGACTAACTTTTTGTTTTCTCTTCCCTCCAGCTGGTAAGCCTGCTGCTGATTGGAATTGCGGCATGGGGAATCGGCTTCGGCCTCATCTCTAGTTTCAGAGTTGTTGGAGTGGCAATTGCAGTAGGAATCTTCCTTTTCCTTATTGCCTTAGTCGGATTGATTGGTGCGGTGAAACATCATCAAGTATTGTTATTCTTTGTATCCTTCTAATGCATTACATGGATCACAGCTGGGTTCAAGCCATGTAAGCATCTCTCTGTCAGCTGAGACTGATGCAGAAGGTGCCTCAGAAACAGAACAGAAATTCATGATCTTATTTTGGTCAAGTGCAGTCTAAATTAAACTTTATTCCCATTTAACCTTATTCCAGCTTCCTTTTTTCCTCCCTTGTTTGTGCTCTGAAGACAGAAGTATTCACATCTCCTCTTTTTAAAAATTAAAATAATTTTTAAATACTGTCACTGTGTCACAGGTGCCTCTTACTGCGTGCTCAACCCTACACCAAGCTAAAGTATGTGAGCTATTACTGTTTAACAGTTGAGAAGGGTGATACTTCCAGGTAGTGAGCTGGTTGTAGCTGGCAGGGGAATGAATTGTGGGTAATACAGGCTGTCAAGAAGCACTTTCCTTTCATACCTAGTCTTTAATTGTGAACCCAGACTAGAAGTGAGCACTGGCCTTCTCAGTGTGCTTTGCTGCCCCTTTATGCTTACTGACACTCTGTAAGCAGCCTGTGGTGCTGCCTTGCATAACAAAATTGATCTGTTCGGATGAGAAGAGATTCATCAGATAAAATTCTTATTTTTCTGGTTGCGGTCTATGAATGAGTCGTGACCTCCACTTTATAAACAGTTTAATTGCGTGAGATGAGTATCTGCCTCTGAACACAGTAGCCAGATTGTGAAGACAGTGCCCAACTTTCAAAATGTGATCTTTAGTATCGAAGTTTGTTCTTTTTGTTTTATACTGTTTTCAGATGCATTAGTCCAAAAGCGTTTGAGGCTGTGTTCCAAAAGCAACTTGCACTTTTTTTTTAAATTAGGCTAAAGTTATCTTTTGTAATTAATTTCAAGACTATGTCATTGAAGAAAAAATAATTCTGGTTGTGCAATACCCAGAAAAGTATTTTCTCTACTACTTTATTTAAGTGAAGTATCTTGAAATGACAACATGAGTCCCTGAAGCTGGAGAAGTTGACTGTAGATTTTTCTCTCTCAAAGCTCCTTTTCTTAACACCTCTGCTTATGTTGTCTTGCTAGGCAAGAAACACCTAACCCAGAAATACCAGCTATGTATAGTAGCAGCTAAAAAGAGATAATATATGGTGATTGAGTTCTGGGAACATTATTTGGGTCATCTTTTCCACATCCAGTTAGAATTTACTTCTATAGTTCTTTTGTTTTAAAGAACCTATTGTTATCCAATGAAGTAAGGAATACCATTAGGCGTATGTATTATAAAAGTAAAATTAATTTGAGAGTATATCCTTAACTACTGTTTCCAGTACATGATTATTCTTTTGCTAGTCTTTATTGTCCAATTTTCTGTCTCCTGTGCCTGTTTGGCACTAAACAAGGAACAGCAGGTAAGAAAAGTTTCCTGACTTCTCAGTTAATCTATAGCATACTAGAAATATATGTATTTGTACATACACACGCACACATATTTATATATAGTCTTCCACAAAATGGGGAGAGCATATTTTAAGAAAATCAGCATTATTCTTTTAAATAAGGACTAGACCTTAGGCAGTGCTTGGCTCTGGCAGCTAGAAAGAAATACATCTGGGCTCTAAAATGACTTTCAGCTGTCTTTTTTTTTTTTTTTTTTTTTTTTTAAATTGTTTTGGTTTTAAGCTTCCTGTCTAGGTTTATGGCCACAAATGTAGCAGCATGGTATCTTAACTATCTCATGTGTTCAGCAATTCCAGATAAGCTGATGAAATCTACAATAATCATAATGTAAAGGTGATAAAGCCACTGAATTGTTCTTGTGTAACCGAAAAGGTCATAACTGCATTTGGAACAGAGGTGACCTTTAAGTGTGAAAGTACAACCAGCTTCCATGGGGTCTGAAGACTAATTCTTAGTGCGTAAGAAGCAGGCAAGGGTACAGTGACTAAATAATCAGCTTTTACATTTAATACATGTAAGCGCACTTTTTGTTTAAAGTCTGAGCAGTCCCAGTTAGATTAGTTGCATGTCCTATTACTAGTGCTCTTGTTGGGTTTAGGAGAAGGAAAGGAAGAAAATGAATTATAACCATGAATGTGCTGCTGTTAGGTGCTACTATTTCATTAGCTATACAGGCTGTTTGAGCATTCAAGTCATTCTTTAATATATTATCCTGTTAGACTTCAGGATCTGACGGTTTTAGTTAGGGAATTATCAACCTGGCCTAGTATATTGGTTTCCAATGAAATGCAAAACAGTTCAATTAATATAATACGTATTTGCTTATGCCTTCTAGAGTCAACTTCTAGAGGTGGGATGGAATAACACTAACAGCGCGAGAACAGATATTGAGAGAAATCTGAATTGTTGTGGATTCAGAGTTTTTGATCCAAATGAAACCTGCTCCTCTGTAAGTTCTTCAAGCATGAAAAAACTTACAACTTTGTTGTGTTTGTTCAAATATGTACAACTGTTTTCATAGTTGCAGAAAGCAGAGTTTTTTAAGAAATGTGTAAGGTAGTTCTTACAATGATACTAAGCTCTTTAGTTAATTTATTGGAAACATAATCGCACAGCACTCTGCAAAGTTTGTACTCCATTGTCATTTATATACTTTCTTTTTTGGAGTCTCTTAAAACTGCTAGAGTTTTGTCCATGGCTGGCAGTCTTTTATAGAGATAACTAGATGCTTTCAGTCAATGAACTGGCATCAGAAAATGAAGTGCAATTCTGTGTTTCTGTCTGCTACAGGATTGTTTTAGAAGTCACCAGTGTCAACCATGTGCACCGATAATAGAAGAGTATTCTGGAATGGTGCTGAGATTTGTTGGAGGCATAGGACTTTTCTTCAGTTTTACAGAGGTGAGTGAGTAGGACGTTAGAAAATTCAGTGCTTTTTCCCCACTTTTAAGGCTTTGTTTTGTGAAACAATTAATTTTAGGGGGTTTATTACAGGAATTCTCAGTGCTATCTCAGGAGTCAGTAATTAATTAAGTCAAATTTTTCCAGGCTATCAGCTTGCTTAAGTCTGCCAAAAGGAGGGCTTGTCTTTATTCAACATTGGGAGTTCTTGCAACTTTGTTATTTAGACTACAAACCGCAACTAAATACCACATTAAAATGTGGTGCTCTAAGGTTTAAGCTTTGCAGGAAGTTAGCTATTCAGGTTTACCATTCTCCAAGAGTAATAAAAAGTGCCATTGCTTTACCTTGTTCCTCTGTTCTTCCCGCCTCCCCCCACCCGTGCGCACACAGAGTCTTTGGGGTTTTTTGGTTTTGGGATTTTTTTTTTTTTTTTTTTTTGTGCCTCCTGTAGTGCAAAGATATAGTATCATGATGAGTGAACTGTATTTTAAACGTCAGATTAAAAAGGTCTTTGACTATCTGCTTTAGTATCCAGATGATACATGTATTGATTGGTGGATAAAAATTCTCAGAGCAGGTCTTTCATAACCCCACATTAGAGCATGTGAAGATACTCCTCCTGCTGCTTAGTGCAGTTTTCAGAAGTAGATATTACAGCAACAAGAGAGATACAGCAACTTAAACAGAATCACTCTGACATCTGCCCTCAATTTCTCTACTAAAAATGTGAAACTGCTGGGAGGGGAGAAGGTGGTTGGGGGGAACAACAAGATTTGAAAATGTACTAGAAAAATAGCCTTATAGTGAAGTGGTAACTGTAAAATGAAACAATTTGGAGAATTTGTTTATCATTACACTAAAAACAGATTTATGAATATTTATCATTTGGGGAGGGGGAAGAATAATTTAACGCTAGACATGCCTATGGGAAATAATTTGCATTGCATTGCGGATACAGTTTTGGCTTGTTGGGTTTGTTCCTCTCTCTGTTGCTAGGTATGAATTCTTTCTGAGAAGGTGCGTTCTTTTTTCTAATTAAGAAAGCTGGTGTGTGGCTGTGCAATTTTAGCAATAATAAAATATCCTAAACCTTGTTTACCGGAAATTCATTGTCAGGATTTTATGTTTAAAACAAATTTTGTAAAACTGATGGAAGATGGGGTAGAGATCCTCTGGTTAATAATATGTTTGGTTTTTGTTTTCAGATTCTGGGAGTCTGGCTGACGTATAGATACAGGAACCAAAAGGATCCCCGTGCAAACCCTAGTGCATTTCTTTGATAAGTTTATAAAGGACTGAATCTTCTCTCTGCACCCTCTACTTCAAAATACTGATTCTCCATAGTTTGGTATTTCTCCATAATAGGGATTCTACATGTACCAAAAAGAAAACTTTATTTCCATAAGAAATTTGTAGTTTTCATGTTTAATTTCCCACTATTTTTCCTCTGAGAATCTCTACCTTGAAGTAGACTGGTGCATTCAGTAGCTGGGCAGTCAGACGGCTGCTCTGAGCTGGTTAAATAACTCTGTTAAGACTTTGGTAATTGATGTGGTGAACTCTATACAGTGAGTTTTATAGCACTACTGGCTTCTCTGGTGTCCAAAAAAACCCAAAAGTATTTTCTGCTGTACTCATTGATTACAAAAATTCACATGATTTCTTATTAAAATGATAAAAATATATGGTGGATGGTTGGACTGTATGATTTGATTAGGCTATAGGATGAACTCTAGTCAACTTTTTTGTCTTAATAATGGTCTCCCACTTTCCTGTTAAGGTAAAAATAGAAGCTAAAGATGTTATTTTCTGTAGTGCACATAAGTGTATGTTAATGACTGCTGTAGCCTTCACCCCTCCCCTTCCCTGTTTGTTTTGGCTTTCTGGTAGCTTTAGAGTTTTGTTGAGAATAAGATAATTCTTTACTTTTTAATGGATATTTTCACTACGAGAACAATGAATGAAGAAAACCGGGAGAATGTAATCTGCAGCTGATTAACTTGAAACTTTTTTTCCTTTGACAAGTGAATGACGTTTGGTATTTGCACAACATCAGAATCAATAGTGGTCTGTCATCTTTAATGTAAGAAACTTGATGTCTGGAAAGTTGTACAGGTTTTTTTTTCAGATGGTGTAAAATTATTGTTGTAATAACTCAGCAGTGTATATTCCTCTGTCATCCAACTAACAGTCTTGAGTTCATGAGAGATTGAATGATGTGTAAAAGAGAAAGAAAGTAAAAAAAAAAAAGTAAAAAAAAAAGAAAAAAAAAAAGGGGGGTTCCAGTAGTTGGTTTTAAAAAAAAAAAAAAAAAGAACTAAAGTTAGAATGGTACATTATCCAGGTAGTAAATGTTGTTTGAGCTGACGGAAAGCATGGTCCCTCTTCCAGCCTGTAATAGAAGTGATGCGTCAGCTGGAACATCAGACATCTAATCACCCGAGGAGATGCCTCCTTGCTCCTGCAAAGGAGGTAAAAAGAAGTTGAAATACATGCTCATCAGAACGCTTTCAGACTTTCATGTGCCCAGTGCTCCTAAAGAAGGAATTGTCTCAAGTTTTTAAGCGGGAAGAGTTGAACCTGGATGCAGAGGGATGTCAAGAACTTGCTAAAGACAGCTTCTCTTTAGGTGTAGCCGATTCCTCAACATCTGCTGTCAGCGCCATCTCCTGGTGTTCGGTCTGTGAATTACTGCTTCCTATGTCGAGAAGTATTGGTGTCTGTTTCAAGCATATACTTGTACATTCAGTGTAAGAGCCCACTCATGTACTGAAAGACCTTAAGAGCCTTCAGATTATTACTAAAGTATAATGTAAATGTATGCAGCTTTTTTTTTTTTCCCCGAGTGCTGTCCTGTTTAAGCAATTAACCAGCCATTCTCAATACGTGTCAAGAGGACGGTGATCATCTCATGGCTGTCTTTAGCAACAGTTAATTTTCCTAGTCTAGACAGGCTTTGTATTTTGTACATTACTGTAATAAATTAAAGGAGGAGTCTTACTGAGAGGGTTTATGAAGCTTAAAATAATATCACATTGCTGCTTCAATTCTGACTTTTTTCCTAATTGTTTTTAGTGCTTAGTTTTGGGTGGGTCTGGTTTCATAAATATGGTAGGTGATATTAGAGTGTAAATGTGCATCACTGAGAAAATACTGAAAATGTTACTACTTTAGAAACTCTCATGTCTTAGAACCCTTAGTGTGAATTTGTTTTAGTAGTCAAAAGACAGATCAGTGGATCATATGGTTTGATTGAAGTTTTTCTATCATATTAATCATACTTTGTCTCTCTAATATTGTGATTTAAAAATAAAAACCCCGCAAACCCTGAAATTCACAGCAGAGATGTGGATTCACTTTCAGAACCTGATTCTTAAGGGGGGCAATAAAACACAGTGAGTCTACCTTTGTTTGGGGGGAGGGGGAAGAGAATAGCCTCCTGAAGGAGAGGTCTGACTCGCATGTCAGGATACAAGAAATGTTCTGATGTGTTGAAATGGAGAATAGAGCTTTTTTTATTATTTTTTTTAATACCTGGTGGGTTTTGTCTTTGAAGTTTGCTTGTTCATTGCTTTGTCTTTCCTCTTGAGAAAATAGTTTTGGTCATATAAGGATGTGGCTTTTTTGGTTTCTAGAGAGGCATTTTAATTTTTATCTGATTGCTTGAGAATTGGACTTAATTGTAACCAGATTTTCTGGAAGCTATTTACAGCAGCAGAGTATCAAAATAACAAAGCAGTTTAACTTGGAGCATTCTTAATGCTTACATTAAATGTCTTTTGACCTTAGTTACATTGAAATGCTTTCTTAAAGTTGGTTATTCTGGAAACTGTAGAAATCTGTCTTGACTTCTTTCAAGACACCTACACATTTTTCTCACATAAAAATAACTGGCTATAAAATACAATTCTTCTGCGTCTGTGCAAGAAAGTGAATCCAGATCTTAACTAACATGCTGATACCACTGCACAGCATCTGACTCCTCTCAGATGAAAATAACTATTTATTACAGAAAGAAAAAGTTTGCATAATTTGAATTGATAGCTGTAAAAATGTACCTTAAAATCTGTAGCTGATAAGTGAATAGGAATGTGCTAGTATTAGCATGTTATTAGCTTGTATTACTATTTTTAGGCCTAATTATTTAAAGATTGTCTGAATGGTAGTGGAATTCTGGAAATGCCATTTATCCTGTGCACTTCAAGTTACTAAGTATATATACATCAGAAATTATTTTCCCAGGTTTTCTGAAGAAGTGGAAAGGTGTATATTTTTTTTTTTTGGCGGGGGGGGTAACTCTGCTTAGCTTGATGCCTCTGTAGACCTAAATAATCTGTATTTAGAGGAAAGGATGAAAAGAGCAGAATTAAGTTGACCATTTACATATTAAGATTCTTGAAAATTTGGCTGAGGTGAAAAGCAAACTATAAAAAAAGCATTGAGTGCAAAAAATTAATTTCAGATTCAAAAATTAATTTCTTGATACTTGCAGGCTGATCTAGCTTGTGTATTTGCATCTATAGCATGTAGACTAGTAGACCCTTGTAGAATATGGCTTATATCCATTTGCTGGATATTATCCATAGCATCAGTACATTTGCTTAAGAAAATGATGCTACTTCAATAGAGTTATAAAACCAGACTTTTTAAAATGTGATGGCATGGGCAGCAGCTTTTGTTTTATATCAGATACACAGCTCTAGAAAGTGAACTTTGGGATGAGTAGATAAAGATGATTCTGGTAACCAATTGCTCCAGCCTTCCTCTGTGCTGTCCCTCTGCTCAGTGGTGTAAACACCTTTTTTGCTTTTTGTGGCTGATAGCTGCTTCTAGAGAATATTTCTGCCCCCACTGCATCCTTTTTTTTCCCTGTCTTCTGCTTGGGGGAGAAGGAAAAGACCTTTCTGCAGCAAGGAATTTCCTCGTCACAATTAAAGGATGCTGCAATAGAAAGGAACATCTTACTGAACTGCTGAAGGAATACTCAATTGCATGTTTGGGGCCATTTCCAGGTACCACTTGAGATTTTCTGGTTGGTAGGGTTCACATAGCTTGCCAAAGGCAGGTGTCTTGCTTCTGATTTTATTGAGCGATTCCCTTGAGCTGAAACCCTTGCTTCTCTTGCCTGTCCTACCTTCCCAGGTGTATTTCTCGATTGTGAGTATCATCATGACTGGTAGTGGTAGTAATGGTAATAGTAGTAATAATGGCTGACATTGCCAAAAACCTGAGAAGATAGTGCAGGTATAGTCCTGGGCAAAGTGTTTCTCACTGGTGCTGCTGCTGAATTCTTAGATGCTTGAGGTTGGAAAGTCTCGTTTTGGCCTAAGTCTTGAGGTGGTGTGTACTCCCATGGTGTTCAGCTGCAGGGTTTCTTTTAGTTCTGACTTCTCTTGTCCCTTTTGGGCTTGTTAATAATCAATCGCAAGCTGTAACACAATCGTGAAACCAACCATGTATTCAATACAGTATCACTTCTATTAATCATCTCAAGGCTTTACTGGATTCTGATGTAAGCAGGAATCTTTTAAGGGAAGCAGTTTTTATCTTTTAAAAAAAAAAAATCTTCAAGTAGGTAAGGTGATCCTCAGATCACTTCAGAATGCAGCCAGTTTAAAAAAAGAAACAAAACCCCCATATAATCAATCCCATCCTCTAGTCTCAAGTACTTTTCTGTAAAAGGTTGGTGCTTCTTGTTATCTAACTGTAAAGAAGGGGCTGATAATGAGAGCTCGAGGTAAATTGGTGCTATGAGGAAATAAATGGAGATAAAGCAGGCTGAGCAATACAGAGCTTAGCTAGCTGCTGAAACGGGAGATAAAGAGCTGCTTTCCTCTACTGGGTTTGGCTGGGTAGAGTTAATTTTCTTTGTAGTAGCTTGTATGGTGCCATGCTTTGGGTTTGCATCCAAAACAGTATTGATAACACAGGGATGTTTTAGTTCTTGCTGACGCTTACGCAGAGTCAAGGCCTTTTCTGCTCCTCACTCCACCTCACCAGCGAGCAGGCTGGGGGTGCACAAGGAGTTGGGAGGGGACACGGCTGGGACAGCTGACCCCAACTGACCAAAGGGATATCCCATACCATATGACGTCATGCTCAGCATATAAAGCTGGGGGAAAAAGAAGGAAGGGGAGACGTTCGGAGTGATGGCGTTTGTCTTCCCAAGGAACCGTTACGCATGATGGAGCCCTGCTTTCCTGGAGATGGCTAAACGCCTGCCGATGGGGAGTAGGGAACGAATTCCTTGTTTTGCTTTGCTTGCGTGCGTGGCTTTTGTTTTACCTATTAAACTGTCTTTACCTCAACCCACGAGTTTTCTCACTTTTACCTTTACAGTTCTCTCCCCCATCCCTCTGGAGAGGAGTGAGCGAGCGGCTGCGTGGGGCTGAGCTGCTGGCTGGGGTTAACCCACAACAGCCCTTTTCCTTCCAAAGTGTTTAGATGTAAAATTGCAATCTGTGGTCTCATGTAACACAGTGATTTTACTCTTTCTAATAATGGTAGATGATAATAAGGAAAAAATACAAACACAGCAATGTTTTGTATGTAAACACTTGAAATGGATTTATTTTTAAAAAAATCATTTTTACAGTTGGATCATACAGTATTCTTCTGTATGCCTTAAATTAAAAGCCTCCAGCTTTTAAAAATGCTGCCCAGTACAAAAGTGCTAATGCAAAACTAGTGTTTGTGTATATAAACCAGCACTATACATCACTAAATATCACCCTAAATAGTCTCTTCACCAGTTTAAATGAGTGGAGAAGAGAGAGATCAGACTTCATAGTATTTAAGGGCTTCCTTCTTCCCCTTACAGTTCTGTCTTCAGGAGTTTCATCGCTTTCTGCATATTTGAATACACTAGAAATGAAATATTTATACATGTTATTTTGGTTGCAACTTCGTCTGCCAGCGACTACAAATAATGTAGAGAAAATGTCATTATTATTAAAGCTTTTGCTCACATGCCTATTGCTACATGGATTCTGATGCACTGTGCTCTACAGCCTCGTCCAAGCATTTTGTGAACCGCGTCTGTTTAATTTTGACTGGTGAGAACAAACATCTCTTACTGCAAACACATGGGCGTTGGCCGAGCAGAGACGGGAGCCGTGCAGCGGTGAGGGAGGGCTGTGGCACACAGCTCTTCCCTGCTCCCAGGAGGTTTCCTGACCCGGCCCAGCAGGGCTTGCGTGCAAGAGTTCTCACCGCCGCTTACAGTGAGCGCTGCTGAATTACGCAAGTTCCTACTGACGTATGCTTTCTTTTAAAACAGATGGATGTTTAAGGCTCCAGGGCTCTGCCATCATTCTCTTCACCTCACTGGGTTTAAGTCTAGCATCCTGTTTAGTTTTAATCCTAGTTAGCTGTCTTTCAGCAAGTACTGATTGCGAGAGTCTGTAATGCCTGGTGTTATTCCTCGTTGCGTGAAAAATGTGACTTTCAGAATATTTCAGAATACACTACTTACACAATGAAATGTCAGAGGGCTCGTATGCATAGAGACGGTTTGAGTATCTTCCAGTAATATCTGCTCTCACAGTCAGGGAAGGATCTGGAAAAAAAGGGTGAAAGAACTTGTAGAGGACAGGATTAACCTTCAAGCAGAAGGAAATAAACCTTTCTGCACTTCTGCTTGCTTCCTGAATGTTTCTGCAAGACACATCTGCTTCCACTAACAACCAAGAGATCGTTCTACACACTCACTGACATTTCAATTTTAAGAGTTGTGTTTGCAGGCTTATTAAGAAGGGGATGGGTTTAATTCTGATCAATGTTGATCAGCCTTGCGCCTTGTGCCACTGCGTAGTACCCGAATTAACTCTATGAGCTGAGGCTGCTTTCAGGCCACAAATGTTATTAAAAAAGAAATAACAAAGGAAGAGATAATGTGGCGGTTGCTTTGGTCTGTTGAAAATGGTCATCATGACCTAGATTTATCAAGGTAGGTGTTAATGATGCGTGTGTACAATATGTGAGGTTACATATCTCTTCTGGGAGAGGGAAGACCTGGATGCATGCATGGCCACTAATACGTCTCCAAAACACAAATGTTTTCGAAGGGGTTTGTGCAGGTTAGTGGAGCACAGAACCGAGCACTGAGCTTTGAAAATTGGCCCCGAAGCATGCGGGGTCACTGCTGTTCCTGCCATGTCCGAGATTGTGTTACAAAGAGAAACCTGTCAGCGTTACAGTATTTCTAGAGATAGGAGGATGAGCAAGGCTGCGCCACTGCCTACCCATTCCAGTGAGTGTGGCATCATGTCATTTCGATGACACGATGGAAGGAATTACATCATTCGTGGAATCCATGAGGGAGGAATGCTGGACCCGTGAAGCTAATGACACGGCTGGGGTTGCTTTGAAATTGCATCCAACAAAACCAACTAGAAATTTTATATTTCACATGGAATAAATTCCTGTTAGTAAGCCCGAGGATCTGAGATTCATGGTGCAGCAGCGGCTCTGATCTGAGATCAGCTTTGATGCTTGAGGTACTCACCTATGAACAAAATCCGAGGGACGTACTGGCCATCAGGTGAAAGATTCTTGTCTGTGGTTTCATACTTAAAGAAAACAGATAAGGTTCCCAGTCAAGGAGGGCATGTTACATAAATATATTTTTTCTTCATTGTACTTTGAGTTATGAAATAGAGCTTAAATAATATGTTTTGCAGTTTAAGAAATTCACTGTCTAGGATGCAGTCTTTTAACAGCTGGGGTTGCAAATCGATAACAACAGTTAATGTTATTATTAAACTTTAAATTCCCTCGTATTTTGAGGTTATGATAGCTACAGATGAAAGACGCTTATTACTAAATCTATTATGCTTCAGCACTGGCCATTTTCCTAGCCAACCCTAGCTATTAAACTGACTAATTATAGCTAGAGAAGCCTTAATTAAAAATAGAACTTTATTGCTTTCACTTAATGAAGTGTAATTGGGAAACTTACCACAAGGTTCAGGAGAATGAATTTTTCAGCCAATTTCTGTATATCTTTATGTTCAGCAAAGACCTTCTTGAGTGCTAGAGTGGAAATAAATGGGAATGAAAGTAGAATCAAATTGAGAATTCCCAGTTTACAACTGCAGCAAATGAAGATTTTAAGTTCGTTCCTCTGGAGGATGATCAACTCATTTATATTCTGTAGTAAAGAGTAAGTGTAATGCTGAAAAATGTCCCTCCTTCCTTCAGATAGGGCAGCTCTCACATTTGTCTGCTTGAGCATTTGACCCTTTAAACCTCCTAGTCTGCTATTGCAGTTTCTGGCTCCAGTCCTTAAGGCACAGTACGGAGGTGTAGGACTTCAGCCTGAGATGTTTGAGAGGATTTTAATGGTTGGACAAAGATTCTTCTGGAGTTACTGGAGCTATGGATGGACGCAAAGGTCTTGCCATGTGGATCGGCTTGCAGGAGGAAGGGCCCTTGGGTAAATTCAGAAACACTGGGAAAAGAGCAGTCCCAGTTACCAGAAATCCCACAAAAGCTCAGTTTCAGCCTAGTTTGATTGAGCCACTGGCTGATTCGGTCTCAAACATCAGTGATGCTGAAAGCTGAACGTGTCCTTTCCGATAAATTACTGTTTTCCACTACTCCTGGTCTTGCTATCAGTTTTGGCTGATTTTGACGCGAACCAAAACCAGATTTGCCACAGGTCAAAACCTGCTGACCTGTGCTCGTTTCTGTATCCATTCTGTACCATGTAATACTGAATTACCGTTTTTATTTTATTTCTGCACAGTGGAAAATACCTACGTGGAACAGCGACTTGAAGAACGCTCTGCGTGCTTGTGCAAGTTAGCGTTTCAATAAGGCTTACTCAGCAAGCAGAATGGTAGCTGGTTTGGGTTTTTTGTTTTGTTGTTTGGTTTTTTTTTTTAAGCAGCATTTATGCAGAAACCGAGAACCAGATGATTTTTTTTTTTTTTTTCCCAGCGCAAAGGGATTACCTTGGCTGTGCGGGCAGTCTTCCAAGTGGTGGATGATCATCAGGGGTTTGTTGCTGGAGAAGAAGAGTCTAGGTTAGCGGCTGGGGAGGCGCCAGGGGGCGCTAGGGGGCGCGGAGCGGCGCGCGGC